ATACGGTGTACTTGTTACTGCGATTCAGTGATAGTTGTTTGGCAATGGAATGCAGCCAACGGATTAGTGGGAGGTACGTACATTTGGCATTTTATAGTGTATGGTGTGAGTCCCAGCCCGTCTCAGGAGAAACATGAATTGTTTCAAGATAAGCCATCACGAGCAGCAACTTTAGCTACAGTCCGCATTTGATTATGTTACGGACCCCACTTATTGGTGGCCGGTCGAGGCAACCAGCAAGATTCACCGTACATCACCGATATGGGTCTAAAACGTAACTCTTAAAACCGAAGTGTTTTCAAACTCTAAATTGGCCGGTTGAGGCAACCAGCACAGGCTAACGAGGTACGTAACACGCTCTAAGGTACCAGATTTGACGTATCGGTTCAGGTCGTGTTTACAATGAGCCCGAAATTGGCATTAGCAGCAGCCGTTGCTTGAACGTCGCCTTTGGTGGACGTTGCAGCCTTGCATATTCCTGAATCGTATTTCATTTTGCATCTTTGTTTCCTTGTGAAATGTACAGGAAGTATGTTGTTCACTCGCGTTTGCATCATAATATCCTTTCTCTACTATCTGTGGTCTTGTCTGGTGTGGCTATGCAGCTGGTCATGTGGCTCACGTGCATGTAGCCCATCACAAAAAGCACAAGAAGGGGAAGTACAAGGGCTTCATTGGCAAGCGCAAGGGCTTTCTTGGCAAGCGCAAAGGCTTTATTGGCAAGCGCAAAGGTTTCATTGGCAAGAGGAAAGGCCTCTTTGGCAGACGTAAGGGTTTCTTTTGAGAATGCGGGTGTAGAATTTGTGACTCTCAGGCTATTGCATGATAGTGAGTCTATTTGGGAAGTGTTAAACGTTGGGTTGGTGTGTTCATTTCCATATTATGAAAAGGGATACCTGGTAGTGGTGGTGTGCTACCCAAGACCTGTAATACTGTAGACGCACTGCACTACTCAGTACCTGCATTCAACTCCACTCAAAACTGATTCTCACAAAGGGAGCAAAGCAAAGAGGATTGATAGCTGGAAGAATGTGTGTGCGTACTATCTTCATCTGGAAGAATGTAAGACATCCTATTTTATGCTGTATCTTATAAATCTTATTAAAGGGAAGGTTTCAGATGAACACGTTTCTCTCATACAGCGAGACAGGAAAGTGTACTCAGCCACACATCACCATACCAAAACTTAACGCAACATACCGAAGCACACCAAATCCAACACTGCTAGCCTCCAAAACCACTCTGCTTACTCACTGAACCACTTCATATAGATGTTTTCCCTTCCTCCTCGTTCTCCCAGTTCTATGCGGCCAGACAGACAGATTCAATTTGCCTCCCTGACGGGAGGTGATGGAGCTACTCTGTGTCGTGAACTCTTCAGTCTGGCAATTCGGCTCATGTTCTGAGCTAAAGCGGCAGTCATAACTGGTTTCTGATCCGGCATCTCCCAGCGTCATGTCGGGTAAGAAGCCGTTATCAGATGTCTTTCGGATGGATATTTTGAAACGACTTTGGCTTCCATCAATTTTCCGGCACGCCTTTCGTTTAGCATTTCTTTTTGTTGAATTCTAGTGTTTATAATAGTTTTGCTTAGAGCTTTTTGAAACTACTACCGTCGATGTGTGTACGCGCGTTCCGTTTCCGCAGATCCGAGGTATCCTCACGGCTATCCGCCTCCGCAGGGTTACCCAGGAGGATACCCTCCTCAGGGTTACCCTCCACCGCAAGGCGGTTATCCTCCGCAGCAGGGTTACCCCCCTCCACCTGCCGGTTACCCCCCTCAAGGATATCCTCAACAGGGTTACCCGCCACCCGCCGGCTACCCCCCTCAGGGATACCCGCCACAGGGTTACCCCCCTCAAGGATACCCGCCTGCCGGTTATCCGCCTGCTTCTGCGTACCCCGCACCCCACGGCTACCCAGGTGAGCCTGAAAGTTTAAACCGTGGATTGCGCAGTGAATTGCGCGGAACTGCGACTGAATCTTGTTGCTGTTAGGGTTGGAATGTAGTTGTAGACGTGGATTCACCACCGCGAGTGTTTAACGACCTACAGCTACCAGGTAAGCTTGACAGTCGAGTGGACTCCCTGATTTTCCAGATGAGAATGGCGCTCGTTAGGGTTGGAATTTAACAGTACATGTTGACTTCAGTGACACTGCCACCGAATCAAGGAATCGCCGCGAAGTAGTGATCTTGTCGAAAGTTCCTAGCGCATCTCGAGAGAAGTCGGAAAGGCAGCCAAGATAAGCCATCGCGAGCTACATCTCCGCTTCTAGTTCGCCTTCGTAACAGCCACGGGGAATTTCTGGCACTTGGTTATTTGAGTGTCAGCCTTTCATGGCCGCTGGTTGTAGAAAGGGAATGCCCTTGAACGTCTTATTTTTCTCTTCCGTGTTGCCTTGGGGAGATATGTGTCGGTCCCTTGTGTGCGTCTTCAGAGTCTTTTAACTCCGCTGAGTGTCTTTTTGTGTGTTGATATGCAGGTGGTCATGTGGCTCACGTACATATGGGCCACCACCACAAGCACAAGTACAAGGGGAGGAAGCACAAGGGCTACTATGGCAAGCACAAAGGTCATTTTCATGGCAAACGCAAGGGGTTCTTTGGTAAGAGGAAAGGGTTCTTCAAGTAAGCTGCCTATTGAGAATGGTACATGTTCTGCTTGGAAAGTTGTACATCTGTGAAGAGCTTTGTTGACTGAGGTACATTTTGCTTATTGATACTGTGCTTACAATTTTATATAGTTAAGAGTCTTGTTCTTAATGAGACTAGCAGTTTATCAGTTTTACATGTACTTCGATTCCTGAAGTTGATTGTGGTTGTTGGTCTGATCATATGATGTGGTGTGTTTACAAATGAGTTTCAGTCAATGAGGGTCACCAGAATTGCTTGTTCGTGCGCTTTCGTCCGTTGGGGTTGAAGCCTTGTTACACCTACTGCATTCACGAAAAGGGGTAGCCTTCTGTGTCTGTCCCTAAAAGGAGCTTTCGTCAAGTTACCAACTTCAGCCATCAAAGTCACGAGCGCGTCTCGGATACAAACACAACAATGGCGGGCTCATACTCCCGCGTCGCGCAAGCCCCAATTTCCAAATTCGCCGGTGCGCGAAAGTGTGCCGCTTCCTCATGAGAAATCGGGAGATTTTCGGTCAAGGACTCAAACCGCGGTTCAAGTCGGTCAAGTTGGGTCTGTATTGATTGAACTGGGCTAGCTTGTGGTGGCTTGTATTGGTTTGTGGTTGCTTCCAATTGAGTTTCATGCAGTAGCCCGCTGAAGGTGGGGCATGTGTGACAAGAAATGGGGCTGATAAACTTGTGGACTGAGTCGCAAATTGTGACGTGATCTGTGCGCAATCATCCTACAATCCATCACAACATTGTCAACACACCAGAAGTTCACTAACTGAACGCCCTGGCGGTCCCGTTGGGTGCACTTGTGAGTGCCACCCGTGCCATGAATGCATGTTACTTGGAAGCTTGCCTTTCCCCCTCGCAGCTCTGCTATGCTTCCACGCATTCCAAGACACAGACGCCGCTCCGACTTTCGTCCGTACCGTTCGTGCATATACCTCGCGGGGCCTACCTCGTTAACTATTTTGCCCCACCATGATTCTCTGAACAATGTAGATAGGCGCACTGAGTATTGTTTACCATAGTTGTCTGAAACGAATTAAGTTGGAACTCTAACAAGCCGTATCACTCTAGACAATAATAGGAAGCGCGTTAAGTTCCTCATCACCGTCAGAAACATCGACGCTCGGCGAGCATCCGTTCGGCCAATTTACCACAAGAGCCAGCAGAACTCTTTTTCTCTCGTTCTTGCTTCCCGCTGCTAGGATTGAGCCGTAAAATCCCCGCCGCCAGTCGCGCGTTCTGGAAAGAAGTACTGGCAGGAGCTAGTTGCAAGAGAGGTCGTAGAACGGGCAGAAAGAATAGTCGGCAGAGTTAACAGAGGTAGTAAGAGTAGTCAGGGAGATGGAGGTTGACAGGTTAAACCACGATAGTCGAGACGACGATACTCGAGATATTCGAGACGCGAAACGCGGCGTTCGGGAAGGTAGACTGCGCGTGCGGAGATTGATCGCCGAGCGCGTCGCAGCGCTGCGCGAGTTGGCTGTGGACGTGGTTCGGAGCCGCTGGCACTACCTCTTAATCGACTTCCTCTTAGTGGCGCTGGTGGCCGTGCAGTTGTGGCGCCACGTGTCGCAAGTTGATTGGAGCAGCCGACCGCCCGTCGCGGATTTCGAGGAGATGAAACTTGAGAGCAGCGCGGATGGGCTCCCGAGGTGCGTAGATTCGCGCGTACGTACGGCTGTGCGTATAATCGTACGGACACAGGCACGAACGAAGACACGAAATGGATGCATGCGTACGACAAGAGTGGTTAGGAATGGACAAGAGTGGCTAAGTGTGGTTAAGAGTGGCTGAATTGTGCGTTTGGCAACTGCATCAGGAGCGTTCTAAAGCCCCCTCGCACGTCTTTCTTTTTTTTCGTTTTGATCTCTACTATACACTCATCCTCGCTTACCCTCAGGCACTAATCCACCAAATTTAATCCCGCCGCAAACCTCCTTGACCCCCATCTCTGTCGCTACTTGCCTCTCCCGACACTTCCCGCTTGTGCGCAGTATTCTTCCCCTGACTCCACGGTATTTTTCAAATCCCTCCATCCGTACCTACTACCCTCCCTTTCCCCCCGTCCTCCCATTCCCTCCCCCCCCCCCCCCCCCCCCCCCCCCCCCCCCCCATCCCTCTTCCTTCCCCTTCCCATTCCTACTGTCTTTTCATCCTCCCCTGTGTGCAGTTTCTTCGCCTGGCCACCCGCCTCTGATACGCAAGCCTCCCCTCCCTCTCCATCCTCGCTAAGAGCGGAGTCGGTTCACGCAAATTTCCGCCCGTCAAAGTCACACTCGTCGCAGTCACACCAGATCTCGCCAGACGTTGTCTCGTTAGTATCGACCCCGGGATTGCAACAACTGCGGGGAAAGCCCGCGCAACAGATGCAGCCGTTAATTCTGACTCCGTCTGAGACGCGCAAATCTGAGCCGTCGGATGATTCGTCAAATCCGGCGGCTAGCAGCGGCATATCTGAGAACGCAACTGCTGGTGTGCTGGATGCTGACGTGGCAGTTAAGCTGTACAGTGCTGCGGCAGGTTATGACACGGCATCTAGTGATGATGACGTGGGACCATCAATCTCATGGATTCCCCGGACTCCGGATCTACCACTCTGCTTGACGTCCACGTCGGCAGAGCCAACGTCCCCGTTACAAGCAGCACCAGAACCCGCTATAACGCGTGGCGGACTGTTTGTATACGGCAGCAGCTGTTCCGCCTGCACTGTAGGCCACACCTGCACGTTCTTAATCAGCGTCGAATCGCCAGGCGCCACGTGGACGCTCCCTCCCGTTGCTGACGCGACCAGTAATGATAGCAGCAGCACCAACACCTCTCCTTCCACTGCTGCAGTTACAGCCACTGCTCTTGCTGCTCCTCCTGCCACCACAACCACTGCCACCACCGCCACCACCGACACAGCATCACCATTCAATTACCCCGCCAATTCCTCCGTGCTGAGTTGGTGGAAGCGTGAGCTCGCTCTCTCCCTCGCCGGCCCTTCACTGCTCCACGCCGACCCTGTTTGTGCCGACCCTCCCGCCTGCTCCCGATTCGTCGTCGCTTACCGAGCCTGGGATGCGGGGACGTACCGGTGAGTGATTGATTAGCTGATTCGGGAAGTGGTTGAAATGTGGATTTGATATCGATTGATACGTTGTTCTGATGGCGACTAAAAAGTACTTTTCATACTGACTGATAAGTTGTTTCGTTGGTGCTCGACAAGTTATGACAGTGGATACGTCAATCCCCTCTCACCTCCCTTCTCAAGCCTCATACCTCTTTCTTCTTCTGTGCATTTTTAAAAGTGATCTTTTGAGACGTCTCAAAATATCACTTTTATCATGTAACCCCTTCTCACCTCCCTTCTCAAGCCTCATACCCCTTTCTTCTTCCGTGCGTTTTTCCTCATAGCATCATCGTCTATCTTCTTCTCTCTTCACTCTCATTCATTTCTCACCTCTCGTGTCTTCATTGCAGGGCTTCCCTCCATGCAGGATGCTCCAACCTCCTCCTTACACCCTCATCTTCTTCATCTTCCTCATCTTCCTCTTCTTCCTCCTCCTCCTACTCCTCCCCTTCTTATGCTGACGTCACTCATGACGTGGCAGCATGGACCATCACAATCCTCCCATCATCCCACACACTCCCGCCCAGCACACCCCTCCTAGCCAACACACAGCCTACCTCTTCAAGTGAAGCAGCCGCCAATAACCAGCCATTTCATAACGAAGCAGACAATAGCGAGGATTTCTCGCGCCGGCTGCTGCTCCTGGCGATGGCAGGGCAGTCGAGTGTGGGAGGCGAGGCAGCAAGTGTGGAGGAGCGAGTTGGGAACTCCACACTCGAATATCAAACCCTTGGAGGGGAATTAGTCCCTCCTGGGACACCTTTTGAGGCGCTTCCAGACGCTGCTCCTGGCGACAGCAGGGCAGGCAGCGGAAAGGAGAAAGTAGGAAACTCTGTACTAGCTTCCCATGCACCTCAAGCAGACTTGGCCACTCATGGGCTGCCACGTGTTCTAAAAGAGAGAGCACAGGAATCCGAGAAGAGAGCAGAGAACGAGGGAGAGGATGAGACGATGCAGGTGACTAGCAGAGGCGGTGAACAGGAACAGGCGGCGGAGGGGAGCAGTAGTCCGTGCAGCGGGTCAGTTATGGGGAGATGGCTTGAGATTAATCCTGAGAGCGATGCTAACAGTGCCAGTGCCAATGCCAGTGGCAGTGGCAGGGGCGTCGGCAGCAGGGGCAGCAAGAGTAGCAAGAGAAAAGACACCTGGAAGTGGGTACCTTTCCCCTGTGCCCCTCCAGAGACCCCAGTGAGTGAGTGGATCTCCTCCCTCACCCGGCGAGGCATCCGAGAGATCTCGATCGCGGGGGACTCGCACCACCGCATGCTTGCCGCCCACTTGTTCTACATGCTGTCGGGCGAGGCCGACCTGGCGAATAGGAAGGGGCGGCACGATCTGGCGTTTGTGGCGCGGAACGGGAGGAACGAGACGCTAAGGATTAATTTCTACTGGGTGGACGGGATCTACCGCAACGACGAGTTCGGCTGCACGTGAGTGCCCCTCCCGTTACCCGCTCCTTGCTTTGCTCTTCTGCTCTCTGCTCTTCGGCTCTCTGCTCTTCTGCTCTCTGCTCTTCTGCTCTCTGCTCTTCTGCTCGTTCTGGTTCGATTTCTCCTGGGTGGATGGATGGCATCTACCGCAACGACGAGTTCGGCTGCACGTACGTGAGTGCCCCTTGCACCTGCCGCTGTTCCTTCCCTTACCCCTTCTCTGCTCCTTCTGCATCATCTTCTACTGGGTGGATGGCACTTTTGAGGCCCCTCAAAAGTGGACGGGATCTACCGCAACGACAAGTTCGGCTGCACGCGGGTGCCCCTTGTGCCCACGCCCCTCTTCCCTTCACTCTCCCAGCTCTAACACTCCTTCCTCTCTCCCATCGTTCCATTCCCATCCCGTCTCATCCCCATCCCCTCCCACCGCCCTCCCCCCTGCCCTCCGAATCCATCCCTCCCCCACTGTGGTCCTAACAGGCATCGAGGGGCCTTCTCGCAGCTCTGTGACCCCTTTCCCAACGTCTAGGACCTTTGACTTGTCTTTTGGAAACAGCATAACCACCTCATGACCTTTATCCCTCTCCTCATCCCCCTTCCGCACTCCAGGCTCAGAGGGGCCTTTTCGCAGCACTACGACTCCTTCCCCAACATCTAGTACCTTTAAGCTCTCTCATAACTTTCCCATGATTTCCTTTATCTCCTTACCCATTCCCAACCCCATCCCCATACCCATAACAGGCACAGAGGGGCCTTTTCGCAGCACTACGACTCCTTTCCCAACATCTCCCTCTCAAGTGACGTCATCATCATCAACAGTGGCTATTGGGCCGGCAAGCGTTGTCTGCATCCGCTCTCCGCCCTCAGCACCCACCTCCCTGAATACCTCGCCTGGGCCCAATCCCAAGCCGCCTCCGCCGCTGCTTCTGCCGCCCAAGCCTCCTCCGCTGCTGTTGCTGCTGCTGCCACTGCCACCAACCTAGGTGATCCTTCTCCTGCTGGTTCAGACCCGAGCAGTTCTGATTTTGCCATTCAATCGACAGCAGCAGCAGCAGTAGCAGCCTCCCTGACAACAGGTGCATTCTCATCCCCCCTCTCTCCAGCACCAAGCGGGGCCAGCCTTAGGGGGAATTCAGCAGCTGCTCTCAGCAGGCAGTCTGCAGCAACAGGTGGTGCTGAAAGGGCAGAACGCCTGTTACGCAGTAACATCACAAGCACCACCACCACCACCAGCGCCGCCGTTGCCGCCGTCGCCGCCGCCACAAGGGCAGCAGCCACAGGGGTAGAAGCCACAAGCACAAGTCGCCGGGTTCGGTTGATCGTGCGAGCGGCACCGCCAGTGCCCAACGGAGGAGACAGCTGCAGCATTGCCAGCCGCATTTATGAAGGCCCCGCCACCAACCTCTTTCTCTCTGCTGCTAACCACCTGACCAGAAACCTGGTCGACCAGATAAACGCAGGCAGTTCTGTCCCCCATATTGAGTATTTTGATAGCTGGCAAGTGGAGGCACCGCGGTTTATGGATGTGTGTCCTCGCGATCATCACTTTCACTGCTACGGGTCGAACGGGCAGGGGAAGGTGGTGATGAGAGGGGACGTTGGGGAAGCTGTTGTCAGGTCTTTGATTCATTACATAGAGCATGGGGGAAAGGGAGGGTACTAAGGGTTTAAAAGATTGATCATTCATGCCAAACCGTAATTGGTTGCATATATTTAAAAACAAATGTGGACTTGGTAATAAAATGTGTGTGGAAATCATTTGTATGAATAGGTCATGAAACGATTTGTATTCAAGCATGTCATATCACACTGATGCATTTACCACTTGAATATATGTGCATTGTCTTGAAGCACTGTTCTTTATTACTATTCACCATGCTAGTGTTTGATATGGTGGGCACATCACAAGCTCGGTGCTGAGTACATCCTGCTTCAAACGTAAAATGGAATCTCACGAATGCGCGTATACGTCCTCTGACGAATCGCGGTTTGTGTGTTCCTTGCGATTAATCGTGCAATGAAAACTCAGTGTTCGACTTAGGGCGTGATACAGAGCAAGCGCTGTTCAAGACTTGATTTTGGGTTACCCTGTTTACTACGGTAGGTTGTACCTAGGCTGGTCAAGAAGTTTGCGCGTCTTGTCCAGCTTTTGTAACATGTTCCAAAATGTTTATTTTGACCAGATTGTTTTCACAACCTTGTATGAACCTGGTTCAAACTTGCCTGAACGCATTGTTCGTCATTTCTATCTTGAACAGCTCTTGAATAGCTGTGTACCGCGCCCTCAGAGATGGATCCGTGGGTTTCGGTTTGGTCGGTTCCTCCCCCAATTCCTCCTCCATTTGCGACTCGGATGGGGTGAGTCTGGCTGGTTGGTTTGGATTTTCCACCCATCAATCGTGGATGGAGAATTCCCCTCCCTCCCAACGGCTAGTGCTGGAGTTGGCGAAGGTTGTGTTACCACACGATAGGTTTTCGCGAGGAGGCTATTATATACCCTTCACCAGACCAAAACTGACAGGAGAAACGCTGGAACCTGGTCATGGATACTATTCTGCGGTGTCCTATGGAGCACTGTAGTAGTAACTCACTGAACTAGGGACTCCATGGTTGTAGTGTACTCTATGGTTGGATCTTATTCAGAAGGCGAGCGATCTACTACTTCCTAACGCGGGATGTAGCAAGAGGCAAGCGAGCTAGGTCGTCGAATGCTCGTCCAACGATACATTCTCGACGTGCACACGCATTTCGAACCGCGGACACGCTTGTCAGAAGCCGTGACAAGCAAGAGAAACTGGAAACAATAAGCGATTAGGTCATCCTTTTGGGAGGAGGCCGCCGAGTCGTACAACTTACCCTCGTGACTACTAGATACCACAGTTGTCGTACTCGGTTCTCGGTCTCGGTTCCCGGTCTCGGTCTCGGTCTCGGTTCCCCATCCGCTACTAGTGCTAGTTCTAATATCTTCTTAGTCGGACCACCGCCTTTTCAGGTACAAGTGAGGTATATCCCGTAGGCCGCAATCCGTCTGACAGGCACAGCTCGCCATTATGGCGTTTAGATTACGACCCGATTAGACCACTTGATCTCCCAGCCGTACTCGTTTCATGAATAACCCAGCTACTTGAAAATATACGCGGTAACGTCTGACTCGACCTTGTATGACTCAGAGTGCCTCTAGAAAGCTATGTCGGCCCTAAAAACCCTCGGGGAGTAACGTGAGGCTGTGCTGCTGCTCCTGCGTGCTCGTGCCACCCGTCGAATTATTCCAGCCATTAAATCTAATTTTACTAATCCCACATAAGGGTTTAAAAGATTGATCATTCATGCCATACCGTGATTGGTTGCATATATTTAAAAACAAATGCGGACTTGGTAATAAAATGTGTGTGGAAATGATTTGTATGAATAGGTCATGAAACGATTTGTATTCAAGCATGTCATATCACACTGATGCATTTACCACTTGAATATATGTGCATTGTCTTGAAGCACTGTTCTTTATTACTATTCACCATGCTAGTGTTTGATATGGTGGGCACATCACAAGCTCGGTGCTGAGTACATCCTGCTTCAAACGTAAAATGGAATCTCACGAATGCGCGTATACGTCCTCTGACGAATCGCGGTTTGTGTGTTCCTTGCGATTAATCGTGCAATGAAAACTCAGTGTTCGACTTAGGGCGTGATACAGAGCAAGCGCTGTTCAAGACTTGATTTGTGGTTACCCTGTTTACTACGGTAGGTTGTACCTAGGCTGGTCAAGAAGTTTGCGCGTCTTGTCCAGCTTTTGTAACATGTTCCAAAATGTTTATTTTGACCAGATTTTTTTCACAACCTTGTATGAACCCGGTTCAAACTTGCCTGAACGCATTGTTCGTCATTTCTATCTTGAACAGCTCTTGAATAGCTGTGTACCGCGCCCTCAGAGATGGATCCGTGGGTTTCGGTTTGGTCGGTTCCTCCCCCAATTCCTCCTCCATTTGCGACTCGGATGGGGTGAGTCTAGCTGGTTGGTTTGGATTTTCCACCCATCAATCGTGGATGGAGAATTCCCCTCCCTCCCAACGGCTAGTGCTGGAGTTGGCGAAGGTTGTGTTACCACACGATAGGTTTTCGCGAGGAGGCTATTATATACCCTTCACCAGACCAAAACTGACAGGAGAAACGCTGGAACCTGGTCATGGATACTATTCTTCGGTGTCCTATGGAGTACTGTAGTAGTAACTCACTGAACTAGGGACTCCATGGTTGTAGTGTACTCTATGGTTGGATCTTATTCAGAAGGCGAGCGATCTACTACTTCCTAACGCGGGATGTAGCAAGAGGCAAGCGAGCTAGGTCGTCGAATGAGAAGATTAGAATGAGAATGATGTGAACTATGAATGAAGCGAGTAAAAATATGAAACCCTAGTTGGGTTGTACCCCCTATGGGATACCCCACTATAGCCAACACAATAGCATAAGCTATAATGTTCTGACACATCCCCATAGGCAAAGTGGGGGAGAACAAGGGGTCAAAAGACCAGTCAAGCAAAGCAAAGCAAAGCTCAGGGTGGATCACAAAGTCACCACACATTCCGAGCACAAGTTCAAAGGCCAAAAGGCCAGTTCACATGCAAGAGCACATACATATATATATATATATATATACGAGGCTAAGCAAGTAAGAGAAGGACTATATATATGTGACAGTACAAGCAAGGTCAAGAAGTGAGCAAGTGAGGCAAGACAGGCACAAGACCCAGCTGAGTGCAGAAGCGCTGATGATTACAAGGCGCAAGTGCCTTGGTGAAAACATCAGCAGTGTTGGCCTCAGAGGCCACGTACGCAAGCCGCAACTGTCCACGCTGCTGTAGCTCACGAGCAAGAAAGTAACGGAGAGCAATGTGCTTTGTCCTGTGCTCCAGTCGCTGCTCTCGACACAAGGCCAGCATGGCCTTGTTGTCTACGTACAGGAGTGGAGGAGAACGAGGCGGCTCTCCAAGGTCGGTCAGCAGGTAGGTGAGCCAGCGAAGCTCCTGGGCAGCCATAGCCCCGGCGTAGATCTCAGCCTCACAACAGGAGCCGAGAAAAGAGGACGAGCGGGTAGCCCGCCACGAAACAGAGCCGGAACCAAGACTGAAGGTGTAACCTTGTGACGACCGCTGCGTAGCCTGGTCGTCAGCCCAAGAAGCGTCCACGTGCCCAGTGAGGACCACTGGACTCCGCCCTCCAAGCACTAGCCCCATGCCCGACGTACTGCACAAGTAGCGCAACACCCTCTTCGCTGCAGCCATGTGCTCTGGTCGGTGTCTCCCAGGAGCAACATAGCGTGCTAGAATGCTAAGAGGGTATGCAAGGTCAGGTCGTGTGCAGGTCATCAGGTACATGAGGCAGCCAACAAGCTCTGCAAACGGGCCACTCGACTCTACGGACTCATCCGAAGGCAGAGCTGAGAGTGAGTGGCGAGTAGGCAGAGGAGTGGACTGAGGCAAGGAGTACGTGAAGCCGAAGCGCTGAAGGACCTGCTGCACCATGTGTGACTGAGTCAGGGTAATGGTGCGGCGTGCTCTGTCCCGGGTGATCTGCAAGCCAAGGTAGCTGCGCAGTTCACCCAGGTCTGTGCACGTGTGTCGCTTCTGCAGCTCGGACTTCACGTAGGCGAGTCCAGCAGTGTCAACTGTGGCAAACACCAAGTCGTCGACGTACACGAGGATGTAGAACGGCGGCAGAGAGGTGTCGGTGCGCAGAAACAGCGACGGGTCGGCAGTAGAAGGAGCAAACCCAAGAGCCGCAAGCGTAGTCCTCAGTGTGTCGTGCCACTCACGTGGCGCCTGGCGGAGACCGTAGACTAGACACCGGAGACTCCACTGGGTACCAGGAGGGAAAGACCCAGTGAAGCTAGGTGGGCGGCGCAGCCAGATCTCCTCGTGCAGGCTGCCCTGCAAGAAAGCTGTGCTGAAGTCGAGAGAGTGGAGCTCGTAGTCACGGTGAGCAGCAATGTGCAGCAGTACCCGAAGAGTGGTCATCTTCGGGGTGGGGGAGAAGGTCTGAAAGTAGTCAACTCCCTGCCGCTGACTGAAGCCACGAGCCACGTAACGCGCCTTGAAGACAGGCGGAGAACCCGGCGGCCGCTTCACCCTGAAGATCCACATGCCACTGACGATGTTCGCCCCAGGAGGGGGGACAGCGTCAACATAGGTGCCTGTGGACTTCCAGGAAGCCATCTCTGCATCCATAGCTGCCTGCCACTGAGAGGAGTAGGGACCCTCTATCGCCTCCGCGTAAGAGCGCGGAGTCGGGATGTGAACTGCATCCGGGTCTCCCTCAGGGGTAAGCAGTACGGACACGAGATGAGGTGAAGCAGCTGCCAGACACTGGAACTCCTCCTGCCTGTCCTCAAGGACGTCCGTGCCAAGGGCACACTCACCCCCGACGGACGGAGGATAGACAGACTCAGACTCAGCGACAAGACTAGCAGCGTAGTCTAAGCGACAGCGAGCAGCAAAGTCGACGAGCTCAGTAACGAGAGCAGACGCAGAAGTAGACTCGAAAGAAGGGTCAGTGACAACAGTAGCAAGGAGACGCGTGACAGTAGGACTGGCAGCACGAAGAGAGTCCGACTCAGGGTCGGCAAGTGCAGGAAGAGAGGAATCAGGAGGGGCAGGCAAAGGGGCACGCAGAGGAGCAGTAGACGGACGCAGAGACATCCGGTGCGTGCCAGGGACAGGAGGAGGACGCTGGCGCGAACTGCGACCACTAGCGCGAGCAGCTCTAACAGGCGACGCAGGACGAGACGTAGGCTCACGATGCTCAGTAAGACCTCCAGTAGGACCAGCGTAGGGAGAAGGAGCAGGCAGATGGGAGGCAGGCTGAAGCTGTGACTGTGACGGGACAGGCTGTGGATACTCTAAGGGAGGAGGAGGACCAGTAGAAGGAGGAAGACCAAGAACCTGCTGCAGGAGTGGAACAAAGTACGGTCGAGGCCGCGTGACGACGCCAGAAGAAGCAGGGACAGCACCAGTACCCTCAGCAGGAGCACCCGCTCCAGCAGCACCTCCAGCAGCACCAGGAGCACCCCCAGTAGGACCGCCAATGGTAGTCTCAGCGCCAACACCCTCAGCAGCACCAGCTCTAGTCGAACCCGTAGGCCCAGCAGCTCCATTACTCCCACTACGAGCACCTCCGAGACCCGCGACCGCAGCACCCTCAGCAGCCGAAGAACCTCCAGCACCAGCAGTACGGCGCCAGCGCCGGGCAAACCACTCGCGCAGCTCCTGTGGAGAGAGTGGATCCCGGCGAGAAGAAGCACCCGGAGAACCTCCAGGCGGAGCACCTCCACTCCCAGCACCCCTAGGCGTAGCACCTCCAGGCTCAGCACCCCCAGGCGTATCACCTCCAGGCTCAGCACCCCCACGCGTAGCACCCCCAAGCTAAGCACCCCCATGCTCAGCACCCCCAAGCTCAGTACCCCTAGGCTCAGCACCCCCAGACGCAGCACCCCCAGGCTCAGCACCCCCAGACTCCGCACCCCCAGGTCCAGCACCCCCAGGCTCAGCAACCCCAGCAGCACCAGAGTCACCAGTGACCTCGACAGGCTCGACTGCGTCTACCTGGGACACACCTGAAGGGGCAGGACCCTGAGGGGGGGGGAGTCTACCTGGGGGGGACCTGGTACAAGGAAGAGCGGGGGTGGGGGGAGGGACGGAGTGCGGTAGGGGAAGAGCGGTAGTAGGGGACCGACTCGTCAAACGTGATGTCCTGGGAGGACAAAACACGTCGAGAGGTGGGGTGGTAGAACTGCCACCCAGGCGCGTCAGGGGGGAACCCCAGGAAGACGCAAGGAGCAGCACGAGGGGACAGCTTGTCCGAAGACAAGTCGCGGGCAAACGCCCGAGATCCCCAGACCCGGAACGCCGACGCATCGCCAACCTTCCCCGTCCACAGTCAGGCTGGGGAGGTCTCCGGCCTGGAGACCCTGGGTTGGAGGTTGATCTGATGCGCCGCGTACCTGACCGCAAACGACCACAGAAAATGGGGGGCAGCCGCATGCATCATAGACGTACGAGCGACGTCCATGACCATGCCAATGCGGCGCTCAGCAATCCCATTTTGCTGCGGTGAGTACGGAAGCGTGAAGGTCTGACGGGTGCCTCGTGCGCGACAGTAGGCTCGCAATAGGCCAGAGGAAAACTTTCCGCCTCTGTCCGAGTGCAGACGCAGAACAGGGAAGTCCGAGCCAAAGCTCCGCCTGAGCTGGAGACGAGCCGCACGGATCCAGTCGATCAGCACCTCAGTAACATCACCCTTGCTGCGCAAGGGGAAGACCGTGGTGTAACGCGAGTAGTCGTCAACAACGAGCAGGAAGTAGCGCTCGTGACCCTGTCCACGGACGCGGGCCGGGCCCCACACGTCCATGTGAAGCGTCTGCAACGGGGCCTCTGTCGGAGGAAACTGGGAGGAGTGAGGGGTAGCCCGCTGGCGCCCCTCGACACGGGGGACACAGGCAGGGCCAGGGCCCTGAGGAAGGGGAGGGAGGGACCGGGGGAGACCAGACACAAGAAGACGGGAGGCCATGCCTCTGAGCCGAAGCAGAGAGGGGTGACCAAGACGGTGGTGCCAGAGGAGAGTCTCATGAGACAAGAAACGACACGAACAGGGGGCAGACTCAGGACCAGACCGAGACGCTGCAGCAAACACCTGACCGGACGAAGCGACTCTACCAGACTCAGTAACGGGAGGAGACGCAGTGGTTAGTGTGTACAGGCTCGACCCCGGCTGACGGGTAAACGTAGCCAGGTGCCGGCCTGTGCTAGCCTCTGTACAGTGCGTCACCCGCTGACGCGCAGGAGTGAACTGGTGTACTCCCCCATCCTGTAGGTCAGCACCACTCACCAGGTTCGTCGAGAACGAGGGGAGGTAGAGACCAGACAGGGTGCCAGAGGGAGCCGCCGGACACGGGAGGACTGTGGAGAAGCGAGACAGTACAGGACCCCCGGAGGGGTCAGCCAGAGACACCGCAACCGGCCGACTAAGCGGCGTGAGTGTGGTGCGGTCCCGAAAGAAGGAGCGAGACGCCCCAGAGTCAAGAGTGAAGGTGAGGGAGGCCGAAGCCGACGTAGTACCTGAGAGCGCAGACTCACCAGTACCTAAGGACGCAGACACACTAGCACCTAGAGCAGCAGCGTCGCAAGCACCTAGGGCAGCAGCCTCAATGCCTGGATCAGGCGGGAAACAGCGGTAGCAGTCACCCTCATCACTATGAGACACAGCATACATGGCAGAGAGAATAGCATCAAAGTCAAGATAAAAGATGGCAACACCCGCCCTAGACAGCTCGCCCCAGCGAGGAATCTCTGAGGCCTCCGGGAACTGGTGACGCCACGCGTCCGTCAGGCGGCCAAAGCAGCGCTGGGTGGGGTGCAGACCCCCACACTGCTCACCCGCACGGTCGCCGGTGCGCAGGACGTAGGTGCACGGACCAAAACCCCCACCCCGCTGGCGTGCAGTGTACCACTCACGGAGCTGCTGAGGGGACAGGGTCTCACGACCGCGCTGCTGCTGCTGGCGCGCGCCACTACCGGAGCCACTCCTCTGCGAAGGCCCGCGACCAGCTCCACCGCCACCCCCACCGACTCCGCCGCCTCCGCTACTGCCGCCGCCTCCACCGCCGCCTCCACCGCCGCCTCCACCGCCGCCTCCTCCGCCACCTCCGCTCCCACCGCCACCGCCGCCGCCGCCTCCGCCTCCACCGCCGCCACCGACCCCCCCACCCGCACCTCCACTCCCACCGCCACCCCCACTAACCCCACCGCCTCCACCTCCACCTCCACCGCCCGCTCCTCCAGCTCCCTTGCCCCCCTTGCCCTTGCCAGGGCGGCGTCTCCCGCTAGGGGCAGACGCCGCACCGACCGACTCAAGACCAAGGAGGTCGGCCGTAGCAGCAGAGGCAACAGAGGGCAGCAGGGGGGAGGGGGAACACCCCTCAAAGATGGGGGTGCGCGGGTCACCTCGAGAGGCTCCTACAGCGACTATACTCTTCTCCGCTGCTAAGAGGGCCTTCTCGAGGAGATCGACAGTGAGTGTGGTGGGACAGACTGAGAGAAAGTGGTCCCTGACTACACGAAGGGAGTCAGGAAGGCGAGTGACTAGGAAGTACAGAGTGATGTACATGGGGGGGGGGTTCTTGGTGCAGAAGTCAGCAGGGAGTGCAGCGCGGTAGCGAGTGTCACTAGTGCGGAGGTGCGTAATGAGGTCAGCCACGGTGGGAAAGGCAGCAAGGTCAGGGAAGAGGTACGGTAGCATGAGACGGCTCAGTGCAGCAGTGGCAGGGGAGGAGTAGCGCGCGACTACAGCGTCGTACAAGGTCTGAGCACTCTTGTACTGACTAAAGTGCGCACGCTCGGAGGTAGGGAGGTGGCGACGCACAGCAAGACGTGCAGCAGCGTCGCGCGTGGCCCACTGGCAGCGAACAATGGCGTCAGCATCAGCAGCAGGGGCAGGGGAAGCGCCAGAGGTAAGGTCAAAGAGAGAGAGGCCGTCTGCCCTATCGCACTGTAAGAACAGCTGCAGGTCGTCTACCCAGACCTCAAAGTCAATGGCCCGACCCTCAGCGTCAAAAGTGAGGACACTAGGGGTAGCCATGACGACAGTAGCCTAGCAGTACTACCTGTAGGACAGGGGCAGTGCAGTGACAGGAGCGCTGCTCTCACCAGACAGGGCGGGTCGGGCAGCTCAGCAGCACAGCAACGCGGCTTCTCGGATGGCTCAGCAGCAACTGCGGTTCGGGCGGCTCGGCTCCACAGCGGCTCAGGTGGCTCGGGCGGCTCGGGCGGGTCGGGCGGCTCGGCTCCTCAGCGGCTCAGGGGGCTCGGGCGACTCGTGCGGCTCGAGCGGCTCCGGCGGGTCGGGCGGCTCGGCTCCTCAGCAGCTCAGGCGGCTCGGGCGGCTCGGGCAGGTCGGGCAGCTCGGGCGGCTCGAGCGGCTCGGGCGGGTCGGGCAGCTCGGGTGGCGCGGGCGGTGTAGGGCCGTAGGGCCGCTGGTAGGGCTCGGGGCCGCAGCGAGAGGGGCGGTGGGGCCGCAGAGACGGGCGGCGGGGCCGCAGTGAGAGGCGGCGGGGCTGCAGCTAGAGAGGCGGCGGGGCCGCGGAGATGGGCGGCGGGGCCGCAGAGACGGGCGGCGGGGCCGAAGTGAGAGGCGGCGGGGCCGCGAAGACGGGCGGCGGGGCCGCTGAGACGGGCGGCGGGGCCGCAGTGAGAGGCGGCGGGGCCGCAGCGAGAGAGGCGGCGGGGCCGCGAAGACGGGCGGCGGGGCCGCTGAGACGGGCGGCGAGGCCGCAGGGAGAGGCGGCGGGGCCGCAGCTAGAGAGGCGGCGGGGCCGCGGAGACGGGCGGCGGGGCCGCAGAGACGGGCGGCGGGGCCGAAGTGAGAGGCGGCGGGGCCGCAGCGAGAGAGGCGGCGGGGCCGCGAAGACGGGCGGCGGGGCCGCTGAGACGGGCGGCGGGGCCGCAGTGAGAGGCGGCGGGGCCGCAGCGAGAGAGGCGGCGGGGCCGCGAAGACGGGCGGCTGGGCCGCTGAGACGGGTGGCGGGGCCGCCGTGAAGGGCGGCGAGGCCGCAACGAGAGAGGCGGCAGGGCCGCAGAAAAGGGCGGCGAGGCCGCTGAGACAGGCGGCGCGGCCGCAGTGAAGGGCCGCTAGGGCGGCTCGACGAAGTGAGGGCCCGGAGCGCGACTCGGGCTGAGCGCGCTTCGGGCAGGAAAAAAAAACTCGATGTGGTGGGCCCTAAGCACAGTTCCCAAGGGGGAACCCGCTCAATACCATGAGAAGATTAGAACGAGAATGATGTGAACTATGAATGAAGCGAGTACAAATATGAAACCCTAGTTGGGTTGTACCCCCTATGGGATACCCCACTATAGCCTACACAATTGCATAAGCTATAATGTTCTAACATCGAATGTCGTCCAACGATACATTCTCGACGTGCACACGCATTTCGAACCGCGGACACGCTTGTCAGAAGCCGTGACAAGCAAGAGAAACTGGAAACAATAAGCGATTAGGTCATCCTTTTGGGAGGAGGCCGCCGAGTCGTACAACTTACCCTCGTGACTACTAGATACCACAGTTGTCGTACTCGGTTCTCGGTCTCGGTTCCCGGTCTCGGTCTCGGTTCCCCATCCGCTACTAGTGCTAGTTCTAATATCTTCTTAGTCGGACCACCGCCTTTTCAGGTACAAGTGAGGTATATCCCGTAGGCCGCAATCCGTCTGACAGGCCCAGCTCGCCATTATGGCGTTTAGATTACGACCCGATTAGACCACTTGATCTCCCAGCCGTACTCGTTTCATGAATAAACCAGCTACTTGAAAATATACGCGGTAACGTCTGACTCGACCTTGTATGACTCAGAGTGCCTCTAGAAAGCTATGTCGGCCCTAAAAACCCTCGGGGAGTAACGTGAGGCTGTGCTGCTGCTCCTGCGTGCTCGTGCCACCCGTCGAATTATTCCAGCCATTAAATCTAATTTTACTAATCCCACATAAGGGTTTAAAAGATTGATCATTCATGCCATACCGTAATTGGTTGCATATATTTAAAAACAAATGCGGACTTGGTAATAAAATGTGTGTGGAAATCATTTGTATGAATAGGTCATGAAACGATTTGTATTCAAGCATGTCATATCACACTGATGCATTTACCACTTGAATATATGTGCATTGTCTTGAAGCACTGTTCTTTATTACTATTCACCATGCTAGTGTTTGATATGGTGGGCACATCACAAGCTCGGTGCTGAGTACGTCCTGCTTCAAACGTAAAATGGAATCTCACGAATGCGCGTATACGTCCTCTGACGAATCGCGGTTTGTGTGTTCCTTGCGATTAATCGTGCAATGAAAACTCAGTGTTCGACTTAGGGCGTGATACAGAGCAAGCGCTGTTCAAGACTTGATTTTGGGTTACCCTGTTTACTACGGTAGGTTGTACCTAGGCTGGTCAAGAAGTTTGCGCGTCTTGTCCAGCTTTTGTAACATGTTCCAAAATGTTTATTTTGACCAGATTTTTTTCACAACCTTGTATGAACCCGGTTCAAACTTGCCTGAACGCATTGTTCGTCATTTCTATCTTGAACAGCTCTTGAATAGCTGTGTACCGCGCCCTCAGAGATGGATCCGTGGGTTTCGGTTTGGTCGGTTCCTCCCCCAATTCCTCCTCCATTTGCGACTCGGATGGGGTGAGTCTGGCTGGTTGGTTTGGATTTTCCACCCATCAATCGTGGATGGAGAATTCCCCTCCCTCCCAACGGCTAGTGCTGGAGTTGGCGAAGGTTGTGTTACCACACGATAGGTTTTCGCGAGGAGGCTATTATATACCCTTCACCAGACCAAAACTGACAGGAGAAACGCTGGAACCTGGTCATGGATACTATTCTGCGGTGTCCTATGGAGTACTGTAGTAGTAACTCACTGAACTAGGGACTCCATGGTTGTAGTGTACTCTATGGTTGGATCTTATTCAGAAGGCGAGCGATCTACTACTTCCTAACGCGGGATGTAGCAAGAGGCAAGCGAGCTAGGTCGTCGAATGCTCGTCCAACGATACATTCTCGACGTGCACACGCATTTCGAACCGCGGACACGCTTGTCAGAAGTCGTGACAAGCAAGAGAAACTGGAAACAATAAGCGATTAGGTCATTCTTTTGGGAGGAGGCCGCCGAGTCGTACAACTTACCCTCGTGACTACTAGATACCACAGTTGTCGTACTCGGTTCTCGGTCTCGGTTCCCGGTCTCGGTCTCGGTCTCGGTTCCCCATCCGCTACTAGTGCTAGTTCTAATATCTTCTTAGTCGGACCACCGTCTTTTCAGGTACAAGTGAGGTATATCCCGTAGGCCGCAATCCGTCTGACAGGCCCTGCTCGCCATTATGGCGTTTAAATTACGACCCGATTAGACCACTTGATCTCCCAGCCGTACTCGTTTCATGAATAACCCAGCTACTTGAAAATATACGCGGTAACGTCTGACTCGACCTTGTATGACTCAGAGTGCCTCTAGAAAGCTATGTCGGCCCTAAAAACCCTCGGGGAGTAACGTGAGGCTGTGCTGCTGCTCCTGCGTGCTCGTGCCACCCGTCGAATTATTCAGCCATTAAATCTAATTTTACTAATCCCACATAAGGGTTTAAAGGATTGATCATTCATGCCATACCGTGATTGGTTGCATATATTTAAAAACAAATGCGGACTTGGTAATAAAATGTGTGTGGAAATCATTTGTATGAATAGGTCATGAAACGATTTGTATTCAAGCATGTCATATCACACTGATGCATTTACCACTTGAATATATGTGCATTGTCTTGAAGCACTGTTCTTTATTACTATTCACCATGCTAGTGTTTGATATGGTGGGCCCATCACAAGCTCGGTGCTGAGTACATCCTGCTTCAAACGTAAAATGGAATCTCACGAATGCGCGTATACGTCCTCTGACGAATCGCGGTTTGTGTGTTCCTTGCGATTAATCGTGCAATGAAAACTCAGTGTTCGACTTAGGGCGTGATACAGAGCAAGCGCTGTTCAAGACATGTTTTCGGGTTACCCTGTTTTCTATGGTAGGTTGTACCTAGGCTGGTCAAGAAGTTTGAGCGTCTTGTCCAGCTTCTGTAACATGTTCCAAAATGATTTTTTGACCAGATTTTTTTCACAACCTTGTATGAACCCGGTTCAAACTTGCCTGAACGCATTGTTCGTCATTTCTATCTTGAACAGCTCTTGAATAGCTGTGTACCGCGCCCTCAGAGATGGATCCGTGGGTTTCGGTTTGGTCGGTTCCTCCCCCAATTCCTCCTCCATTTGCGACTCGGATGGGGTGAGTCTGGCTGGTTGGTTTGGATTTTCCACCCATCAATCGTGGATGGTAACGTCTGACTCGACCTTGTATGACTCAGAGTGCCTCTAGAAAGCTATGTCGGCCCTAAAAACCCTCGGGGAGTAACGTGAGGCTGTGCTGCTGCTCCTGCGTGCTCGTGCCACCCGTCGAATTATTCCAGCCATTAAATCTAATTTTACTAATCCCACTGTTAGTAGAACGTACAAGATGTGGTTTTTTAGACGGATTAGAAGCCAGTTTCAGCCGAGCCAGCAGCAGAGCAAGCCGCGGCTCGACCAACCGTTAAGTTTCACCACCGTCTCGGACGCTGGATCCGCTAGCAAAACCAAAAGACCAGCCGTTGGATTAACACCGGCGACTGGCGGCTCGGGACCGGGACTGGCGGCGGGTTCGGGATTATGGAAGTCTATGCCGGAGGGTATACGCAAGTATTACGTGGGTCTGCTAAACCTAATTCTGCTCTTCTTAATCGCCTGGCAAGCGTCGCCTTACGCCACGAGAAGTTACGATTACCGCGGCGTGACCGGCGGCGCTGGTGGAAAGGGAATGATGACGCTAGGGAAGGACGTGCCTGTACGGAGGTAAGTGAAACAGCTTGTAACGGGAACGGCGGCAACTGTAGGCCGTCCGACAAAACTAACCTATCTTTTTTTTGACTGGCGTGTGCAATTGGAACTTTGAGGGACGAATTGTGGGATATCAACGAAATCCATTACTATGCTTCATCCCAAAATAGGACAAGTTGTCCTGTTCATAGCTCCGGTCCCTAAATCTTCACTCATTCACCTCCTCCTTGAACTACCCCGTGTTCCTAAAGTTCCACAGTTCAAATGAACGTTGAAGGTCCAACCCAACCCATATCCATCCATGCAACCCCAACCGAGCCACCCCTTCCTCCCCCCCCCTCTCCTTCCTCCAACCACCACCAAACCCCGTACCACCCCCCAACTCCCTTCCCCCCTCCCCTTCTTCCCCCAACTCCTCAACTTCTTCCCGAATTCGACTTGCAGTTCCGCCGCCACCGACGCCAAGGAGGTGTCGCTGGATTCGACTCAGAAGTCATATCCTCTCCCCCCCCTTCCTCTCCTCCCCCAATTCCCCGTTCCCTTTCCGAATCCGACTCGCAGTTCCGCCGTCACCGACGCCAAGGAAGCGTCGATGGATTCGACTCAGAAGTCATATCCTCCCCCCCCCCTTCCTCTCCTCCCCCAATTCCCCGTTCCCTTTCTGAATCCGACTCGCAGTTCCGCCGTCACCGACGCCAAGGAAGCGTCGCTGGATTCGACTCAGAAGTCATATCCTCCCCCCCCCCCCCTTCCTCTCCTCCCCCAATTCCCCGTTCCCTTTCCGAATCCGACTCGCAGTTCCGCCGTCACCGACGCCAAGGAAGCGTCGCTGGATTCGACTCAGAAGTCATATCCTCCCCCCCCCCTTCCTCTCCTCCCCCAATTCCCCGTTCCCTTTCCGAATCCGACTCGCAGTTCCGCCGTCACCGACGCCAAGGAAGCGTCGCTGGATTCGACTCAGAAGTCATATCCTCCCCCCCCCCTTCCTCTCCTCCCCCAATTCCCCGTTCCCTTTCCGAATCCGACTCGCAGTTCCGCCGTCACCGACGCCAAGGAAGCGTCGCTGGATTCGACTCAGAAGTCATATCCTCCCCCCCCCCCTTCCTCTCCTCCCCCAATTCCCCGTTCCCTTTCCGAATCCGACTCGCAGTTCCGCCGTCACCGACGCCAAGGAAGCGTCGCTGGATTCGACTCAGAAGTCATATCCTCCCCCCCCCTTCCTCTCCTCCCCCAATTCCCCGTTCCCGTTCCGAATCCGACTCGCAGTTCCGCCGTCACCGACGCCAAGGAAGCGTCGCTGGATTCGACTCAGAAGTCATATCCTCCCCCCCCCCCTTCCTCTCCTCCCCCGATTCCCCGTTCCCTTTCCGAATCCGACTCGCAGTTCCGCCGTCACCGACGCCAAGGAAGCGTCGCTGGATTCGACTCAGAAGTCATATCCTCCCCCCCCCCCCCCTTCCTCTCCTCCCCCAATTCCCCGTTCCCTTTCCGAATCCGACTCGCAGTTCCGCCGTCACCGACGCCAAGGAAGCGTCGCTGGATTCGACTCAGAAGTCATATCCTCCCCCCCCCCCCCCTTCCTCTCCTCCCCCAATTCCCCGTTCCCTTTCCGAATCCGACTCGCAGTTCCGCCGTCACCGACGCCAAGGAAGCGTCGCTGGATTCGACTCAGAAGTCATATCCTCCCCCCCCCCTTCCTCTCCTCCCCCAATTCCCCGTTCCCTTTCCGAATCCGGCTCGCAGTTCCGCCGCCACCGACGCCAAGGAAGCGTCGCTGGATTCGTCCGAGTGGTCGCTCTCGGACAAGCTCGTCGCAGGGCGACCAGCAGCCGTCGCAGGCGACGCAACGGGGTCGCAGGCGCGGGGCAGCGGCGCGGCGAGCGACAGCCACGGACGCGGACAGGGAGTATCCGGCGAGGCAGGGCTGCACCGAGAGGGGGCCGCGGCGGATGGGGGAAAAGGTTCCGCCAAGGCGAAAGAAAGGCGCGAGCACGTTTGTTACACTTCCTCAGGTGAGCCACAGGATTCTGGGGTTTGGGCTTCGGGGTATGGCACTGAGAGTGGGAAGCGGCGGATGGAGGAAAAAGTTCCGCCAAGGCGAATGAGTGGCTCGAACATGGTCGATATTTTACCTTGGGTGAACCACAGGTTTCTGTGGTTTGGGTTCCTGGGTTTGGTTCAGAGGCCTGTAGGGCACGTCCATTGGACGGACCTTCTCTCTCGGGTGATTGAATATACTAGCCGTTGCTGGTGATAGGGTTGTGGAGATGTGTCACAGAATTCTGGGGTTTGGGCTCCCGGGTTTGGTTCAGAGGCCTGTAGAGCACGTCCGTTGGACCTTCTCACTTTGGTGATTGACCCCACTAGCCGTTGCTGGTGATAGAACTGTGGAGGTGTCACAGACTTTCAGGCTTCGGGAATCCGTGTGATTACACAGGTGAAGAAAGAGGTAGTCTAGTTTTGAGGCGCCTCCAAACTAGACTCATGGGATTGCACAGGTGGAGGGGGTAGTCGTCGCCCTCCTCCTGCCTCCGCTTCTAGTTTCCTTCCGCCCTTCTTGGTTCCTCTCGTCCTTTTACTACCCTCCCCTTCCCCCTTCTCTCTCCCCATCAGCCCCATGGAAGGGTCACACCCTGGTTCCGCGCAACCACCTTTCGCGCAGGGGTGGTGGTGGGCGGAAGGGGGTGTGCGCGGGTAGGTGTGCATGGCGTCATGTTCCGCATCTCCTCCCCCCGAATGCTCCCCTTTCTCCTTCCGCCCTTCCTCTTCTTCTCTTCCCCTTTCTCTCCTTTCCCCCTTCTCTCTCTCCCCATCAGCCCCATGGAAGGGCTACCATCTGGTTCCGCGCAACCACCTTTCCCTGGGGGGGGTGGTGGGCGGAAAGGGGTGTGCGCGCTGTGTGGGAGAGCGTGAGTGTGTGGCCCACGATCTCCGTCCCCACTTCTACCCATTGTTCCCTTCTTTCGTCCAATGTCCAACGTTCTCCCCCCTGATGCTCCCCTTTCTCCTCTCCTTCCGCCCTTACCCTCCCCTTCCCCCTTCTCTCTCTCCCCATCAGCCCCATGGAAGGGCTACCATCTGGTTCCGCGCAACCACCTTCCCCCGGGGGTGGTGGTGGGTGGGAGGGGGTGTGCGCGCTGTGTGCGCGGAAGGGACTGCGGCATGCGCGTTTGGATCAACGCCCCGGCCACTTGGGTGCAGGTGGGTTTGGGATGGGTGCAGGTGGGTTTGGGATGGGTGCTGCTGGGTTTGGGATGGGTGGTGGTGGAAAAAGGACGGATGCAGGTGGGACTGGGGTGGATGCAGGTGGGAATGGGGTGGGTGCAGGTGGGAATGGGGTGGGTGCAGGTGGGTACCACATGGGTGCAGGTGGGTATCGAATGGGTGGAGGTGGGTACTTCACATTCTCTCATCCACTCAAGTCTCCCCCAACGCGACCTGGCAGAAGAAGGCCATGGCGCTCCTCCCCACAGGTCCCTCACGCACCCTCTCCCCTCAGATCTACCCCAACGCGAGCTGGTGGAAGAAGGACATGACACACATTCTCAAGGACTCACCTCTCCCTCCCATGACAATCTGCTTTCCCCTCTCCTCCCCTCATCTCCCCTCAGATCTACCCCAACGCCAGCTGGTGGAAGAAGGACATGACGCTTATCCTCAAGGGCCCTGCTCTCTCCCATGGGGACGTGCTGTTCACAGGATACACACTTGTTTCCCCTCCCTCCTCCCCATCCCCCCCCCATCCCCCCCCCCCACCAGATCTACCCCAACGCGAGCTGGTGGAAGAAGGACATGACGCTCATCCTCAAGGGCCCTGCTCTCTCCCATGGCGACGTGCGCTGCCTCGACCCCCCTGCCTGCTCGCAACTCGACCTCACCTACCGCCTCTGGGACGTGGGACAGTACAAGTGCGTGCCAAGGGGTGGGAATTGGTGGGAATGGGTTAGAATGGGTTTGGAATGGTTGAGTCATCACTGGTGCAGGCAGCTACGGGGCAGAGCAGCGGGTGTGGTTCCTACTTGACCCCTCGCCTGCTCCCAGCTCGCCCTCTCCTACCGCCTCTGGGACGTGAGGCAGTACAGGTACATTCCAAGGGGTGGGCATGGGTGTGCATGGGTGGGCATGGGTTGGAACATGTGTACGCACAGTCATCCCTGCTGCAGGCAGTCAGCCATGGGGCACAGCAGAGGGCGGCATGGTTTAACCTGATACTCCTGCCTGCTCCCAGCTCGCCCTCACCTACCGCCTCTGGGACGTGGGGCAGTAGAGGCGCGTCAAGCTGTCCTTTGATGTCCTCCCTGGCTTCCACTCGGCAGTGCGTTTCCTCTCTTCCCAGGCCATTCCTGGGCGTAGGCTGCGCCAACCTGCAGTTCGCCCCCAACTACAAGCAGCACCTGAGCCTCATCCCGTTCCTCCCTTTTCCACTTCGCCCCATGCGTTCTCTCACTCTTCCCAGGGCATTCCCGAGGGTAGGCTGCGCCAATCTGCGGTTCGGCCCCAACTACAAGCAGCGCCTGAGCCTCATCTACAGCCTCTCTGTTCCGTTCCCCTCACGTGTTCGTCTCCTCTCTCCCCTACCAGGGCATTCCTGAGTGTAGGCTGCGCCAACCTGCGGTTTTCCCCCAACTACAAGCAGCATCTGAGCCAGACGCACCTCCATGTACTCACATCGTGGAACGTCACAATTGTGCCGCAAAAGAGAGACGCCGCCTGGGTTAACGGCTCTCTTGCTCTCCCTCCCACCTCCGCTGCTCCTTTTGCCTCTTCTGCTACTGACACTGCAACCTCTGCTACCACCACTGCCACTGCAACTGTGACTGCAGTGGCTGCTGTTGTGAATGTTGCTGCTACAGCCAACGTTCCTCCTGCAGCTGCTGCTGCTGCTGCGGCCACCGGCACGGGGGAAGCCCTAAACTCTGGTGCTAACAGCTATAACACTAACGGGAACAATCAAAGCGTCCCTGCCTCTGCTGTAACTAGCGAGATAAGTGAACACACAATCAGTAGCAGCAGCAGCAGCAGCAGTGTTCGCCGCTTCTTGAGTGGCACGTGGCAGGAGGAGGAGGCTAGTGAGGAGAGCGAGGCGAGCAGAGGGAGAGGAACGGAATGGAGGGGTGCGGAGGAGAGGAGGCTGCTGGAAGGGGGGGCGACGGATGAGGAGGAGGAAGAAGAGGAGGAGGAGGAGAAGCTGCCAATGACGCCGTGCCAGGTGTCAGGCATCAAGGGGCGATGGGTGCTGTCCAAGGCTGGCGGATACGAGTGAGTGGGGAGGCATGTGAGGGGCTGGGGAAAGGCATGGGCTAGGCTTTAGGGACGTACAGGTGAGATATGGGAGAGGCTTGGGAAAGGAAGGAGGATGAGGAAAAGCTGCCAGGTGTCTGGCATCAAGGGGCGA